GCCATCCAATCAGTTGCATACAACAGCAGGCGCTTTATATTGTAAGGTAGACCTACGATAATACATGCAGAGAAAAACCCAACAATCACATGACCCTCTGTGAACAAGCACTTTGGCGACAGTGGGAAGGAAAAACTCCCTTTGAACAGGAAGAACCAGGCTCAGGGAGGGGCGGGGCCATCTGCTGTGATTGGTGGGGGGAGAGAGCTCAGTCTGGGGGCTGCTGTTCGTGTGTCTGCTTTAGTTTTCAGCATCGTATGATGCACAGCGAGCACACGCTGATCACGTGACCTCGGGGACGTGCTGGGGACACATAGCTGACGTTTGTCCACGTAGAGCTCCAAAGGTCAAAATCCAGCGTCAGAGTCTCAGCACTTATACGGGATCTTTATGACTGTGAGACAAACTGCAGCAGCACCACAGACAGACACCATCATACCACCAGCTCTCATTGTAAACAGATCATGTTTTAGTGCTGCGTTGTGCGTGTGTGTGTGTGTGTGTGTGTGTTTGTGTGTGTGTGTGTGTGTGTGTGTGTGTGTGTGTGTGTGTGTGTGTGTGTGTGTGGGTGTGTGTCTGTGTGTGTCTGTGTGTGTGTGTGTGTGTGTGTGTGTGTGTGTGGTACCTCCTGACCCCGAACCAGGTGACCTTGAAGCCCATTGTTCCTCTCACGCAGAAGGAGCAGGTTGAATACAGCGTGGCCGCTGAAAGGCGGAGGGTCCGAATGGTGCACGATGACATCATCAAGGATTTGCTTTCCAATGAGTCGGTGCAGCAGGGTGAGTGACGCACCCGGCCACGTCCCGGCAGACAGCAAAGTCTTTTCACTTCACTGCGTCGTTGTGCGTGTAGAAAGCACAGGATAGAGCAGCTGTGGGTTTACACGAGAATGTCAGAAGTGCTGGAGAAGCGTGTGAGGCTGGTGCATGACATGGGGAGGTGTCTGGCATCACAGCAGGGATCTGCTCTCAGCCCCTTCTGTGAACGGTGAGGTTTGCAGATGATGTGACCTGTAGGGAGAGCAGGGAGGCTGCAGGTAACAGGAAGGAGTTTAGATACCTGGGCTCAACCATCCAGAGCAACAGACGGGGGAAGAAAAGAGACAGGTTTCAGGGTTGATATGTGACGGAGGATTGAAACCATGGTAGTGAGAGCTGCCATGGTTTGGAGGCAGTGGCACTAACAAAAACAAGAGGTCGAGCTGGAGGAGTTGAGATGTCGGGGTTTCCACTGGGAGTGACCACTGTGGACGTGAAATGAGGATATGAGAGGAACGACTCGAGTTAAGACGAGCGTAGGGAGGCAAGGCTGCGATGGTCCGGGCACTCGCGAGGAGGACAAAGGAAGCTCAGGCAGGAGGAGAAGCCGGCGAAGCTGAGAGAAGAACATTTGCACTGACCTATACTTTAGCCTGTGGCTCCATGGCGTCTGCTGTGGTCGCTAACAAAGACAACCGTCTGGCTCTAAATGACTATCAAACTTCAATTAGTACTTTCTTCACATAGAGGGACGACTTGACTTGTTTCTGTATCAGTTGACAGCTCAGTGGGACCCAGTGCAGTGGCAGCAGAGAGGACTCGGGTGGAGAGTGTGGAGCTGGTTCTGCCTCCACATGCAAACCATCAGGTCAGTTCATTTCATGTGTTTCCCATCTGAACTGCAGCGGACGCGGCGGTTTGTCGCTGCTGTCTCGTGCTGTTACTACGTGGAATATTTGAAGGAGACTGAATTTGAAGCTGTTGTCACCAGAAACACCTGCGTGGCCTCGTTTCGTACGAACAACACATTTGGCTTTTATTTAATCCGCTGAAGTGGAGATGCAGTAGCATTTTATTTCTTTTACTCCTTTTTTGGTTCAAAACATCAGCTCGTGGCCTCCAAACACTGACTACATCTGAGCGTAGACTGAGGCGCTGACTGCTGCTGTCAGAGCGATTTTGTTTTGGTCGTTTGCCTGTCCCATTTGGGTCTTTAGCCAGATCTGTTGTCTGAAGACCAACAAGGAGACCCGATGGATTTACTTCACCAAGTGGATCATCAC